AAAAAAAAAAAAAAAAAAATCAAGCATTTCTAAAATAAAACAATTTTCAAATTATAGTATTCTAAGACAGTATAGTTTAGAAGACATACTTTTTTCTCTAGAAATAAATTCTTCTCTGTATCTTTTCAGATGTGGGCCCAAGATGCATTTCCTAAGTATCCTGTGATATAAAATAACTAATTCAAGAAAATTTCACTTTTCTCTGCTCATTCAATAATCCTTTTGTACTGTCTTTCCCATGTTTTGATACTATTAACTCTGGGTAGGATCCTAGAATAATCCCAATGTACTAACTATACATTGCCAGAAGTAGAACAGGTGAAACACAGTCTCACTTAAAATTGTTCACTCTGCATACATTTATTGAGGGGCCTGTAAGGGAACCTGATACAGAAAAACATTTTTTCCCCTATTCTGAAGTGCCTACAACTATCAGGTAAAAATCTATGCTTTTTGTTTTTTTTTTTATGAGACAGAGTCTCACTTTGTCACCCTTGGTAGAGTATCATGGCATCATAGCTCACAGCAACCTCAAACTCTTAGGCGCAAGTGATTCTCTGCCTCAGCCTCCCAAGTAGCTGGGACTATAGGCACCCACTACAATGTCCAACTCTTTTTAAAATGGGGTCTCGGGCGGCACCTGTGGCTCAGTGGGTAGTGCGCCGGCCCCATATACTGAGGGTGGCAGATTCAAACCCAGCCCTGGCCAAAAAGTAAAAAAAATTTAAAATAGAAATGGGGTCTCACTCTGGCTCAAGCTGGTCTCAATTGCCTGTGAGCTCAGGCAATTTTTTTTTCTTGAGAAAAAGTCTCACTGTAGCTTTGTGTGGAATGCCATGGTGTCATAGCTCACAGCAACCTCAAACTCTTGGGCACTAGCAATCCTCTTGCTGTAGCCTCCTGAGTAGCTGGGACTACAGGTGTGTACCACTATGCCTGGCTACCTTTCACAGAAATAGGGTCTTGTTCTTACTCAGGCTGGTCTTGAACTTCTGAGCACAACCAATCCACCCACCTCAGCTTGCAGAATGCTAGGATTATAGGCATTCTATACCCAGACCATGATAAATTTTTTACCCTTGAGAAATTTTATTCGCTAGTGAAATCTCATATCAAAAGTTTTATTTTCCCAGGTTTTGGCACCCCCCCCCAAAAAAAAGTTATTTTTTTCCTGACCGGATGCCTATAGTTCTACCTACTTGGGAGGCTGAGGGAAGAGGATCACTCAAGCCCAAGAGTTGAGGTTGCTGTGAGCTATGATGCCATGATGGCACTCAACCAAGAGTAACAAAGTTGAGACTGTCTCAAAAAGATAAAAAGTTTTTTTTTTTTTCTGTGAAAATGTGCTCTACTCACAACTTCCTTATAAATACCATTTTCTCAGAGTTTCACTGGTACTTGGTTCAGACCATTAATATAGCACATGGCATCAATGGAGCAGGTACTAGCTATTCCCATTAATCCTTTGGTTATATCATGACCTTTTTCTCCCTCTTCTAATTTTTTTTCCCCTGAGACACAGTCTTACTATGTCACCCTCAGTAGAGTGCTGTTTCATCACAGCTCACAGCAACCTCAAACTCTTGGGCTGAAGCAATACTCTTGCCTCAGCCTCCCAATTAGCTAGGACTACAGATGCCTGTGACAATATGTGGCTATTTGTTTTTGTTGTAGTTGTCATTGCTGTTTAGCAGGCCCACGTTGGATTCAACCCAGTGTATGTGGCTGGTGCCTTAGCTGCTGAGCTACAGGCGCTGAGCCCTAATTTTTTTTGGAGACAGAGTGTCACTATGTGGCCCTTAGTAGAGTGCTCTGGCATCACAGCTCACAGCAACCTCAAACCCTTTGGGCTCAAGGGATTCTCTTGCGTTAGCCTCCCAAATAGTGCAGATAATAGGAGCTTGCGCCACAACACCCAGCTATTTTTTTTGTTGCAGTTGTCATTGTTGTTTAGCTGGCTTGGGCTGGGTTCGAACCCACCAGCCTAGGTACATGTGGCTGGCACCCTACCCACTAAGCTACGGCCACGACCCCCTAATTTTTTTTTTTTTTTTATAAGACAAAGTCTCACTCTGTTGCCCTGACCACACCATAGCTCACAGCAACCTCAAACTCTTGGGCTCAAATGATCCTCTTGTCTCAGCCTTCCAAGAAGCTGAGACTACAGGCTCCAGCCACAATGCTCAGCTTATTTTTTCTTCTATTTTTATTAGAGATGGGGTCTCATTCTTGTTCAGGCTGGTCTGAAACTCCTGAGCTCCAGTAAATCCACCCATCTTAGCCTCCCATAGTGCTAAGATTACAGGCATGAACCAACATGCCTGGCCCTTCTTCTTTTTTTCTGAGACAGAGTCTCAAGCTAACACTCTGGGTAGAGTACTATGCCATCATAGCTCACAGCAAACTCCAACTCTTGGGCTCAAGTGATCCTCTTGCCTCAGTTTTTTTTATTTTCTAGTAGAGAAGGGGTCTGGCTTTTGCTCAGGCTGATCTCTGTGAGCTCAAGCAATCAACCCACCTTAGGCTCCCAGAGTACTAGGATTATGGGTGTGAGCCAGTATACCCGCCCCCTTTTATGAAACAGGGTGTTGCTCTGTCACCCAGGGTAGAGTGCAGTGGTGTTTATCGTAGCTCACTGCAACCTCAAACTTTAAGTTTTAAGCAATCCTCCTACCTCAGCCTTCCAAGTAGCTGGCAGCAGGCATATGCCATCACACGCAGCTAAGCTTTCTATTTTTGTAGAGACAGAATCTCACTCTTGTTCAGGCTGGTCTTAAACGCCTGGCCTCAAGCAATCCTTCCGTCTCAGCCCCTAAAAGGGCTAGGGTTTCAGGCATGAGACACTACGCCTGGCTCATAATGAGATATTTAAGGCAAGCATCATGCTGTATGTACTACTGAATTGCCATTGTCTAGATTAATGGCAAACACAAAAAAGGCATCAGTGAGCATTTGTCCAATTCTGAACAAATGTCATGAAAAAGTGAGAATAGCATTGACCACTATAAACCACAATAGTGGTCTTTTTGCTGGGCAGGGTGGCTGATGCCTGTAATCCCAGCACTCTGTGAGGCTGAGGTGGGTGGATCACTTGAGCTCGTGAGTTCAAGACAGCCTGAGCAAAAGTGAGGCCCCATCCTGAAAAAAATGAGCCAGGCATTGTGGTGGGCACCTAAAGTCCCAGCTACTTGGGAGGCTGAGGCAAGAGGATTGCTTGAACCCAAGAGTCTGAGGTTGCTGTGAGCTATGATGTCATGGTACTATACCAGGAGCAACAAAGTGAGACTGTCTGAAAAAAACAAACACAAGAACTGTTCTATAAAAAAAGAGTCTGGCTTGGCACCTGTAGCTCAAGTGGCTAAGGCGCCAGCCATATACATTAGAGCTGGCAGGTTTGAATCTAGCCCAGGCCTGCCAAACAACAATGACAACTACAACCAAAAAATAGCCAGACATTGTGGCGGGTGCCTGTAGTCCCAGCTACTTGGGAGGCTGAGGCAAGAGAATTGCTTAAGCCCAAGAGTTGGAGGTTCCTATGAGCTGTGATGCCACATCACTTTACCCAGGACAACAGCTTGAGGCTCTTTCACACACAAAAAAAAAAATTATAAAAATAATCTAGCATAGCATTGTAACCTAAGGTAAGGATCGCTGATTGGCAAGATGGAATGTATAGCACATTATAAAAAACGTACAACTTAGAAACAGGATGATGAGGATGATCAGTCATAATTTTTTTTTTTTTTGCAGTTTTTGGCCAGGGCTGGGTTTGAACCCATCACCTCTGGCATATGGGGCTGGAGCCCTACTCCTTTAAGCCACAGGTACCACCTAGTAATAATTATTTTTAAAAGTTAGAGTCTACCTTGGCTTGGCACCTCTAGCTCAGTGGCCAGGACGTCAGCCACATACACCAGAGCTGGCAGGTTTGAACCCAGACTGGGCCTGCCAAACAACAAGAGCTGCAAAAAAAAAAAAATAGCTGGGCGTTGTAGAGGGTGGCTAAAGTCCCAGCTACTTGGGAGGATGAGGCAAGAGAATCGCTTAAGCCCAAGAATTTGAGGTTGCTGTAAGCTGTGATGTCACAGCACTCTACCAAGGGCAACATAATGAAACTCTGTCAAAAAAACAAACAAAAAAAAAGTTAGAGTATAACTTCTCTAAATGCCACATGTTCTTAGAAGAGTAGGGCTGAAGAACTTTCCAAAAGATTAAGTTCTGAGATCCCAGTCCATCACTTACTTCAGTGTGCATTTCAGTATCTAAGATGAACTTGGTCACAAAATTACAATGCAGGATAGAGAAGACCTCAATGTCCAGCTCCCGGAAAAAAGCATGGTAATTCTGTAGTGACACTGCTGTTTTTTCTTCTTTTCCTGCAAACTCCTGGATAGAAAGCAGCAAGAATGAAGAGAATAAGTCTTTTATATTAATCTAATTTTTAACAAAGAGTTTAAAGTACAAATATGCATTCTTTCTATGCAAAAAGTTACCTTTTCACCATATAACCAATCTCCCTTCACCAAACTCCCTAAATATTCCTGAGATGAGCACTTAATTACTAGGGGGATACAGGCCAAACATCAAGACCCTTGACTGGTTTGTACTTAGGGATGAATTATTAAGGCAAATCAAGGGATTATGGTGCAGTATAGAAGACTATTGAGTTTAGGACCAGAAAGATCTGGCTGCAAATTTGAGGTCAAGCATTGATTAACTGTGTGACCTCAGGCAAATCACTTATCCTCTCTGGGTCTTCGTTTCCTCATTTATTAACTGTGGTTATGAATACTAACCTTGGGTTTTTAGGATAATTAGATAAGCTATACATAAGAAATATGTTAATATAATAAATAGTAGCTAAAAAACAAATAGCTGGGATCCACATGGCCTACACAATTTTAGGAACACATAAAACCTATTCAGAAAGTGATACAAAGTTATAGGAAACGGGAGCAACTGTTAATCAAGTACCAGAAATTATACTAAGCATTTCATGTTATCTGGACTCATTGAGAACTTGGTAATCTGGGATCAAACAGGAAAGAGGCTAGAAGAAGTATTTATAAAATTATGTCTTAAGACAGAATCTGATAATTCGTATAAGAGAAAGTTTGAAGTACTATGGGAGAGAAAAAATGAGAGTAAAATCCTCAAGATCATAATTAGAAAAAATAGGCTCGGCGCCTGTGACTCAAGTGGCTAAGGCACCAGCCACATACACCTAAGGTGGCAGGTTCGAATCCCCAGCCCGGGACCGTCAAACAACAATGATGGCTGCAACCAAAAAACAGCCAGGCATTGTGGCGGACGCCTGCGGTCCCAGCTACTTAGGAGGCTGAGGCAGGAGACTTGCTTAAGCCCGGGAGTTCGAGGTTGCTGCGAGCTGTGATGCTATAGCACTCTACCCAGGGGGATAGCATGAGGCTCTGTCTCAAAAAAAAAAAAAAAATAGGCTTGGCGCCTGTGGCTCAACCGGCTAAGGCGCCAGCCATGTACACCCAAGGTGGCGGGTTTGAATCTAGCCCAG